AGAATTGACCGAAATGCGTGTAATCGAAAGCGCCCAATGAGGTCCACTTGCAGGGTTAATGAATGGAAAGTGTAAGCTACATTTACATCAAGAATTTTACGACCCACACTCATTTTCTCATGTGCCCTCTATTTCTCTATTGCAAGCGAACAAGGCAGTAGTGTGACATGCATTGGGTGTGTTTGTCCGTTCCACTTGAGGTGTACAAGAAATTATAATAAATACAGTTCCAAAATACCGGGGCATACCTGATATATAACACTCTTCCGAAGTGTTGCTGATCCAATGACTTGGATGGATTCTGCGGCATACTCACATCCTATCAGGAAGGACATTTCTTCTTCCCTGAGGATATCTGCGTTGTCATGAGATGATGTGTTCGTAGCGTTCGGATTCATGCATGGTTGCGTGCAAACGCTGAGCGTCAAGTTTGAGGTCTCTCCATCACTACTGTTCAGAACTAAGCTACCGTCTAGAAGCTCTGCGACGAAGTGACCACCAAGACTACTTGCTACCTCGTTCACATCACTGCAGCTGGGATATCTGCTTCCATTCTCCAACCAGAACGCAGTACTGACGGGACTACATGTGTCAGCTGTGTGGACGTCCAGGACGGTGGCATTGTCCGTACTATTACCGGCAGTGTCCGACACAATGCCATGAATCACTGTAGAGGCATGAATGTCAGCGCAGAACATACACATACCATGGTTCTCAACACCAAAGCCATTTTGGAAAAAAGAGGATTGGCAATGTGGTAAGTTAATTGTAACACAGGACTAGGAGAGCGTCTTGTTGACGACTCGGGAAACAATAGCTGCCCGTGCAGTAAGTGGTGGTGTTACTGGACAATGTAGCGTGACTTTTTAGTTTTCTTGAACCTCTTTTTTCCTATAAGATCATTTTAAAAGACCCTTCGAGTCTACAATAATAATGTTATTATTGCAAATGAAGAAAAACTTACGTAAAGATAGTAGTAGGACGGAATATGTCCCTGCGCGTTGGAGCGCTAGCATGTTCACACCGTTGACCATCCGCATCTTCCAAACTCAATACGTGAAGAATATCTCCCGATTAGGACTCACAATCAATCACCTTACTCGCACAGACAATAACGTGACACTAAACAATAACTCAACAACAACTCCTTTTATATCAGAATAAACCATCTTCACATAGCACTACGTGGCGAGATCTCCGCGATTACGGTGGAACAGAGAAGGCAGAGGATATTGAAGAGGATATCGGAAAAGAGTCGACCAGGGAATGCACTGTAAGCCCTCTCCGCCATTCAAATGTATTGTGTTAAACCTATCAAGATTTTTCCGGCACTACGTGATTTTATGCTGCAGGTGGTCGACAATGTTCAACTCTGAAAACTGTCTAGAAATACATTTAATGTAGACGGAAGACTGTTTGGTGGTAAGGCACTTAAAGTTTCATGCCCTGCACGATCGCCTGTGAATACGAGATTCTACAGGGAAGTAAAATGCCATGCTCCTGAGCGATAAGATAAGGAGAGAAAGAGTTCCGGCCCTATACTAGGCGAGCCATTATTTCCTATTGTCTTTGGGCAATCATATTGTCTATCAAGACATCTAGATACCAATATTTTTTTTCACGGAACGAGATATTTCGGTCGTGGGGTGGGAGGGGGATGAACAGGTTCGTTTCAGACAACATCCGCAAATGCATGCATAAAGCTACGGCTGGTTCATAAGAGTACTGAAGCACATGTAAGTCTGTTGTGCATTGGCAGTGAGGTTCTGCAGCACAGGGCTGCGTAGCCAGACAACCCCCCCCCCCCCTGCCCGCTAGTGTTGGAGGGGCATCCCTGGAGGTGCAGGCTCGCCATTGTCAATGTGTGCCCTGGTAGCTCCTTCAACGTCGACCACCAGCAGCAGGCTCCAGACCGACGCTGGCCTCCAAATACCTCACGCCACGAGTCGTTCTGGCACATCTCAGAGTCAGTTTGGTTTTGCTGCCTCAGTCCGACCTAAGTCACTACCAGTAACCTGCAGATATCCGTGCTGTCAGCTGCCTACAAGAACTCCAACTGACTCTAAGTGTCATCATACCTCCTACTGTAAAAGCCATTATTCTAACGAGGCGCATATAATAATATGCACCTCGTTGGAATAATGGCTTTTACCTAACGATTTCCCAAAATCGACTGGTTTACGTGTACCAAAGGTAACGATTCTCACATGTTCTCAACGCTCAATAGGACAGTATATGTATCGATTTCTGTGTAACGATTTCTATTTTAACGACAGATTTCTCCTCGTTAACTCGTTAGAGTTAGCACTTTGTTATATACATGTATATGGCTTTTACAGTACACCTTAAAACGCTAGCGGAACACCTACTGTAGCGGACATGGAAATCCAGTCGATTGACTTTGGCCTATGGTTGATGGATCTGATCTATCCTCCCCCACCGTTTAGGAGCCGCATCTGACGCCTGATCACGGGGTGGTGGCGTCCCACGGAAGCGGAAAGGTGGTTCTTGACCAGGGAATTGTACGACTCCTTGCTCTTGACCTGCCCGGTACGCGAACCGGCGTCGAATGAAAGTGTTGCTCCCCACACTGGAGCTCGTGTTTTTGTCCAACTTGAATTAATCCTTGACTGACACACGTCTACCCACAACTTGAGGTGTTCTGCCATGCTGACAAACTTGCTGTCACACCTTCGGCTAAGTGTCTCCGGGTAATAGTCGATAATGAGCTGTCCTGGAAGCCCCACATTGCACACCTGAGCCGCAAGACTGCTCGTCAGGCGAAATAACACGTCATAGTACATTTGAGACCAGCGGGAAGAAGTTGACGACGTCCACTAATTTAGTAGTCATGTGTACACGAATGTCCTGTGGGTGAGACTCTGTGGGTCAGCTATGACATCAAACCCTGTGGTTCCGTGCCTAGCATGTAGGTCAGATCCATCCTGCAAAGTTTGAATGATCGCGCCGCGAACCATACTTTTTGAAATTCTCTTCGTAGTATATCTTCCACCATTGAAATGTCGAATTTCTTGCTGAGAGGGGTGGCTCGCAACCTCGATATGGCTTGTTCCTAGCATGCTTTGAAGCCAAACCCTGTTTAACTGACAGACGACTGCGTCACTGTGTTGTCAAAACGCTTGTGCTCTCATCGCTGTTCCGTACGTACAATGTTCAAGTAGAGGACATTGTACATGTCCATGCACATAAGCGCAGAAATCACTCCCTGGAGTGGAAAATGTCAACAAAGAATTGATCAACAAGAGCCTCCCGCCGCGCTGGTGGTTTCTGAGGCAGCTATTGTTGTTTAGTATTTCTTTTTAGAACTTTATTATTCATATGTATTTGTGCAGGCGTTGTGGCAGGATTCCTGACTGTAATCATCATGACAAATTGAAATAATAAGAAGTTAAGAACGCAGAGTGAGAGGCCGCACCTGCCATTGGCAATTGGCCGCTTGCAAAGAGCTCTCGAGAATGCCTGACAGAGTGATGCCTAGAGATAGCTCGTGATGGGTGGTACGGCCCTAGGTCGGCTGCAGGACCCATCATCCCCCCCCCCCCCCACCCACCCTGGCTAATTTCAATATCGTGGGAGGATGTAGCTCTATGTTCATGCTGCTTCATATCTACATGTACATGTACGCCATGTAATTATTATTTGTTTTAGGTACACATTCTCTGTATACGCGTACATTGTACATGGGCATGTCCAGCAAGCACTGGAGTCCTCATTGGTCAGCTCAGGAGGGACAGAGTCTGGTGAGGAATGCACAAGGACAACACCATTATTATGTTGATGTGACAAAAGTGAGTTGTGCTGACACCTGGTCTCTACTGTGTAGGCGGGCAAATGCCACAGTCTGTTTACATGCAAAACTGGCCCCTAGCCCGATACGCGACCCATTCTATTGTCTCTTGGTACAGCCCGTGTAGTTAAACGACTGCTGATACAATCAAAAATTATCAGCACTGATATCATTAGTCACAGTAGCACGTCCATACACTTGATCGAAAACTTTCCTCTTCAAGTCTGTAGTGTAGGAACGTTAGAGTGTATGGGTTGTACCTGTGCAAGAGACAATAGAAAAATGGGTCAGGTATCAGTCCTGGAGGCATTTTTGCATCTACACTGTGGAATTTTCCCATTCACACAGCACGTACATGTAGATCTACTCATTATACCAAAGTGCACTGTCTTTTCTAAGTGTCACATATTCACGCAAGTACATGTACTACTACTAGTAACACATTTTGGCAGGCAGGCTGAGTTCCACGTACATGTACATGTAGGAGTAACCAGCTTCATTTACTATTACTTAATAGCGCCGAAGTCGCTGCTTCGAATTGTTAGTTCACATTCAGGGTTGTTTATTTGCTGAAGGACACAGCGAGAGAGTGGTTTCACATGTATATGACATTACGGGACAGCCAAGTTGGCTACATGGACAACTAATATTAATAATACTTTTTATTAGTTTTTTTTGAGGCAGAGAGTAGCTAGCTGGTAGGGACCGGCGGATTCTGCTCGAAAAGGTGGCAGATTCTGCTCGAAAAGCAGTAAAATTGGCAGAAACATACAAACCTTATGGCGGGCAATTCCTCGAATTCTGCTCCATTTCGTTATCCACATACCAAACAATAATTGAACAAACATGCATGAAACGTACCAGAAAAAGTACCGAATTCTGCCAATTTTTCCGCCGGCAGAATCCGATGGACCCTACTATAGTACTAGCTGGTCAAAATACTATACTATTTTTAGAGCAAAGCAAAAGCATGAAACAGACCTACACTGTACGTAAAAAATAGTCACTAAAAATTAATGTTGCACTGTATACTCTACAGTGCACTAGTACAGTGTAGTCACTGCTTCAAAAACAATGTTTTTAGAGCAAAGCAAAGCTTGACGCCTGCATGCATGACGGCTACATGTACTAGAGCATCATGTCATGCATGCATGCTAGCGCTGCCACTTGCACACAGAATGAAAACGAACTTTTGTACAAGAACTAAACACCTCAGGATCAATAGAGAAGCCTGGTTTTTGGATCAGTTTGTTCGGTAATTGACTTTACTTGGCCTGTTGGAGTGTTCCGGTGGGCAATGGATCGTGGTGACGCTGCGTTCGTCCGAAGGGCTTGCGTTTATGCGCTGGAACGGGAGTGTGTCTGGAGTTGACGAGACTGAACTCATCAGCCGGTCGGCCATTTGATCACACGAGATTTGATCGATGCCCCCTTCTGTCACTCATCAGTGATGGGTCGAGCGCAGGTGTTCACCGAAGTTCGCAGCATTTCTGTCAATGGCAGTTGTGCGCCTACTGTACATTGCGACAGGTGAGGACGACATTGCTCAACCCCCTCCTACCCCATAGCGAAATTACATTGTATTTCGTTCTGTGAAAAAAATTCGATATTAAAATAAATTTTATGGACAACCCTATAGGCCTAAGGCCGTGTGCGGTACGAGAATAGATCATCGAATAGAAAATTCCTGAAAGTTGCAAAAACAATTTCATCATTCTTGATCATGTCCCGATGCCGAAATATGAATTGATACTCGATATTGCCCTTCAGAAACCATATCTTAAATAGGTTCGGAAGGATTCCACTGTACTGCTAGATGAGATCTCTGCTCAGGGCAATTTTTCCTGGGAGTCAACTAGTGCTGCGCTGTGTGCAGCCCCAGACATCCGCTGAACTGTGCACAAGCGCGCGCTTGGGTGGGTGTGAGTGTGCGAGCTTGTGTGTGCACAGGCGCGCGCTTGGGTGTGTGTGAGTGTGCGTGCTTGTGTGCGTGTGTGTGTATGTGTGTGTGTGGGGGGGGGGGGGGGGCGCGTGGGTCAGTGTGCGTGCTTGTGTGTGCATGTGTGTGTGTGTGTGTGTGTGTGTGCGGGCATGCGTGCATGCATGTGTGTGCGCGTGTGTGTGCATAGGTAACGGTCTTGGCCATTTTATGCCGATGTACTCAGTTTGGTGTAGACCAGGTGTGCATTGGTGTTCGATTCACATGGCTGCGCCAGTTGAGTGGATTAGACAGTTATCGTGCACAAGTCTCGACTTGTCTCATTCAGATCTTGTTCGCTATCGCTGCTATAAGAGAACATCTGTGGGTGCACATCCAGTCCATTTGCAGATTTGCGTGCTTCTCTTTCGACGGACGTATACATGGTACATGGTGTGTTTGTGTGTGTGTGTATTTGTGTGTGTGTGTATGTGTGTGTGTGTGTGTTTGCTTGTGTGTGTGTGTGTGTGTGTGTGTGTGTGTGTGTGTGGTGTGTGTGTGTGTGTGTGTGTGTGTGCGTGTGTGTGTGAGAGAGAGTGTGTGCATGTGTGTGTATGTGTGTGTTTGGCGGTGCATGTGTATGTGTGTGTTTGGCGGTGCATGTGTCTGTGTGTGTGTGCGTGCGTACGTGCGTTTGTGTGTGTGTGTATGTGTACGTGTGCCTGTGGCTGTGAGAGTCAGGGAAGGGGGGGGGGGGGGGGGAGGGGAGGCTTGGGATCATTGTCCGTATATTATGCGAAGGTGACCAAGAGATGCTCATGAGGGCGGCCGTAGAGGAAGTATCAGCATGGCAAGTTTGCTCAGCTTGCTCTCTGGGCTTTTATAATGCTCTCCAAAAGTCACAAGCCCCCTGAAAACTGCCTTCAGGGGGCTGAAAACAGCAAGAAACTCGTACTTGTGACGTACGCTACAAACAAAACCATTTTGTGCATTTTACATGTTCCTACGGTCGCGCTCTGTGAAGTCCGACCCCGAGTGCACATTTCGCGCCCTCATTCTGCACGGCCCTTGATGCCGTGGAAGTGGTGCGAATGCAGCTGGACTTACGCATGTACAAGTACAGCGATGTGATCGAAACAGGTACAGGGCGCAAGTTTTGCACTTTTTGGTCGGATTTCACCGAGCGCAGTTGCACTTCAATTTTCCATGAGGTTCACTACTTAAATTAATGTGTTTCTATTGTTTTGTTTTTTTTTCGTTGCGTGGACTTCCTAGGCGAATGGAGAGTACTTGTACCGCCACAGCTCGGATACAGCAGGAGCTGAAAGACCTTACGACCGGCAGCACACGCCGCCAGAGTGCGTGAGGAACACGCAGCCGGTTGATAGCGCTCGTTCCGCTTTTGAGACTGGTTGGAACATCCTGTCCGACTAACGTAAGTATGGAGTATATTCCAAGTGTTCTGAGTACGCCCCGGGTGTACTGCAGTGGCATGCTCAAAATGTATTCCTGAACTTGTGCCAAAGAAGCATGGTGTCACTAAGTACAGCAGTACAGCTCATGCGGCCAGCGCTCGTTTCTGTGGGGTGCGTGCTTGTGTGTGAGTGAGGGGGGGGGGGGGGGGGGGGAGCGTGTGTTTGTGTGTGTATGGGTGTGTGTGTACATGAGTATGTGTGGGAGGGGTATATGTGTGTGTGTGGGCGGGTGCGTGGGCGTTATTTCCACATTACCAATTTAACCAAAGGATCATGTGTGCATCCAAGAGGATCAGGTTGATTTCAGCAGCCGCTCACTTTGCCCCGCCCACGATGCGTACAGCCTGTGCGTACAGTATGTATACCCTACTGGTTGGTCATGTGTACATTGTAGTACTGGTGGGCGCCGAAGAACGGAGCGCCGAAGAACGGAGCGCCAAATAACGGAGCATCGAAGAACGGAGCGCCGAAGAACGACCTGCCTAGAATTTCATCAAGCACAGCATACTAATGTATACACGGTGACTCAACTTCGCATAGACTGTACTGCATGAAAATGAAAACAGGCTAGGCTAGGAGGCTGACCCCTCAGTTCATCGGCCACCGATCGTACCGTATGTAATGACAAGACACTGGGCACTTGACACTCGTACGTTTCTCCGACCATGAAACACATCCTGTACTGCAGGCCCTGCGGAACTGGTCCGCTTAGTCAGACCATGGCTGGACCAACGTTTCGGCTACCAACGTGTGTTTACTGCTGAAGAGGTCATGTGTATATCCTCCATATCATACACAGCGTATGAATGGCTGGCGGATGGCCGGGGACCGATCAAGACTTCTTCCCACCGGTCCTACATACATACCATCATGTAGTGATGGCGGCTCTGTCACGTTGCTGGTGTCATGTGCATGTCCCGTCCCCTTGCACACGTCCCAGCGAGTTTTCAACCGCGTGTACTCAAACGCCTTCGCAGAGTAAAGTCACGGGCATATGCTGTCGTGGACATGGAAATCCGGCCGCACGTCCAGCGGCCCCAGGGCGCTGGCCATGCAGCCGTGGATAAGCGATTCATACTTATCATGCATATGCGCTGCAGCGCGCTGGTCGTATCTGATCAACAAGTGCACTGCACGCAGCATTCTGTACGCGCTGAGGGCGCCGGCCCCGGTCTATGGACAGGATTTCCATGTCCGCTACAGTATATCGATTGGTATGCTGTGGTCGCTGAAATCCTCGCCTGGTCGTTCTTGAGCGCTACATTCATCGGCGTCCTACAATGCTGTACACATACACAACTCTGCCAGGTTGAGTCACCATGACTGTATTGATCGATATGATGTGCTCGGTGAAATCCTGGCTTGTCCATTCTTCGGTGCTACGTTCTTTGGCGCCTGACAGTGCTGTTTGCAAACACATCATGCTAGTCAAAGGGCACTGGATGCAAGCTGTCTGTGTTGTGGATATGTGCTGGTGTCTGTGGGTTGCCATTGTTCGCGGATAACACACCACCAAGCGGTCATAATTAAGAACGAGCAAAGGGCAAAATGTCGGAGTGACAACGGGTTCTGAGGCTAGCCTGAAATTTGTGTGCGCACGGGCATGCATCGTGTCGGCATGGCATAGCATGTGCGTGTGTGTGTGTGGGGGGGGGGGGGGGGCAAAGTTTCGGAGATTGCATAAGTGTGCATGCGTGCAGAGCGGGGGTTGTATTTTTCCTTGGTCAGTTCTTCTGTCATCCCAGTGTACATTGCTATGGCTTTTGCTGCTGTTGCATCACCAGCATCTAACACTAACACCGCCTCTGACAATGTTTGGCCACGTGAAAGGTGTACGGAGGGAAGGGTGTGTGTGTGTGTGAGTGTGTGCACGCGCGCGTGTGTCTGTGTGTGCTTGCCTGGGTGGGTGTGCGCTTGCGTGGGTATTTGCATTTTTTGTGGAGAGGGAGGTGTGTGGGTGGGGGGGGGGGGGGGGGGGGGTGCATGTGTTAGTCTTTGGTGTGGATATCTATGTATGTTGTGTCAATGGTACAGTCATACCTAGGTCATGTGAACGTTGAAGAAATACATCCCTTCTTCCAGAATACATGCATGATCTGTATCTTGGTATTGTCGGCGATTCGCTTTGTGCCTACGGGCATGTGATTTTTGTTTTATATTGCTCTAACGATAACCTGATCTGAGCGACGATCTGTAAACTCATTTATAAAATACTTCTATGCTGCTGGCATTAGATTCCTGCCAGAGAAAACAAGAACGTTTTCGCTTGCTTCCAGGAGTCTGTGAGAACTTACAAGGTTTCTTCATTCCATTTCTTCTGGCGTCTTGTTTTGTGTCACTGTGTGGTGTGCTTGCAGGGAACTTCAGCAAGGCAGATGTAACATGATCGTCATATACCAGATGATCTCTGTCCGTGCGCTCTCCATTTGGCGCACTGTTTTGCCGTGCATCTTCGTCAGCATGTGTGCGTACTGCTTCCTGTCTTCTGCCTTCCTGCTCGCCGTAACCAAGGCACTTGCACCGGTGCACCTGTGGCATTCACGGGCCACTTTCAGAGCGGTACGTCACACAGCCGGCTCTACCACTACTACTGTAATGAGTTTCGGCATCTCCATCGTGTTGCCAGGACTGTGTGGAAGTTCGACTGGTATGCCGCATCTCTGACATTCACGAGCCACTTTCAGAGCGATGTGTCACACAGCCGCCTCTACTAGTATGCTGGAGTCATGTTCGGCGTCACCATCGTACTTACCGGCGTCACCATCATATTCACCGGCGTCACCATCATATTCACCGGCGTCACCATCGTACTTACCTAGCGTCACCATCGTACTTACCGGCGTCACCATTATATTCACCGGCGTCACCATCGTACTTACCTAGCGTCACCATCGTACTTACCGGCGTCACCATCGTACCTACCGGCTTCACCATCGTACTTACCGGCGTCACCATCATATTCACCGGCGTCGCCATCGTACTTACATTTGTTGCCAGGACGGACTATGTGGAAGTTTGACTGGTACTTCGCACCGGTGTCATTCACCAGCTGCTCCCAGAGGTGTACATCGCAAAGGCGGCTATAGTTACTTGTACTCACGGCGTACTCAACCTACTTGCTGCTCTTGTCAGGGATGCGTGCACGTTTGACTGGTACTCCGCAAGACCCCGAGCAGCCAATGCCAGTTTCGTAAGTAGCCAGTACGGGAATGGTGTTGATTTTGTTCTTTCCGGGGCATACAGTTCAGCAGGGTGTTGAAGAACGAACGGGGTAGGTTTTAACGAGGCCTAAGTTTGGTCTGCTTCTGCGGCAGTGGCCTTGCGACTACGACTTGCGACAGTATGCGGTAGTCATTTCCTTGTCGCAAGTATTGTGTTTAGCATGTCAGGGCGCCGAAAGAGACATTGTTCCCTTGTGAATGAGCCTTAACTCCCACTAGCCGCTGCTGCGTTTACCAGGCATCATTTACTGTAAAAGCCATTATTCTAACGAGGCGCATATATAACGATTTCCCAAAAGTGACTAGTTTACGTGTACCAAAGGTAACGATTCTCACTCTTCCTCAATGCTCAATAGGACAGTATATGTATCGATTTCTGTATAACGATTTCTATTTTAACGACAGATTTCTCCTCGTTAACTCGTTAGAGTTAGCACTCCGTTATATATATGGCTTTTACAGTATAACTTTCTGACCTTATTTCATGTCAGAATGCACACCGTGTCCGATGGTATGACCGCGTGTCATCTGCCGGGAATTATATCTCCCTGCATTTCTATTGCATGCTGATTGACGCCAATCATGCACATGCTCATTTTTGTGTGTGTGTGTGTGTGTGTGTGTGTGTGTGTGAGGTATTGCTGAGGCGGAACTGCCTGAATCCCAATGCGGGTTTCGGCGGCACCGTGGTTGTGCGGACGCCATCTTCTCTGTCCGTCAACTTGTCGAGAAGTCGTACGAACATCGATCGAAGCTCTTCTGCGTATTTGTGGATCTCCGCAAAGCATACGACTCTGTCCCTCGCGAAGCTCTTTGGCAGGCATTGCTGCGGCTGGGTGTGCCGCCCCCGACTGTGGCCATCATCAAATCATTCCATACAGACATGTCAGCTTGCGTTCGCGTTGCCGGTGGTTGCACGGATCCGATATCTGTCAAGAATGGGCTGCGCCAAGGGTGCGTTATGGCACCTGTACTGTTTAACTTGTACTTCGGCTTAGTTATTGAGCGTTGGCGATCCCTTCTCGTTGAGCGTGGAATAGAGTCTGGTGTGGACTTCAGCTTCACAATTGATGGCCAGCTGTTCCCTCGTGTCACTAGGCGTCGTCCCCACTCCGAGTCCGGCCATGCTGATGACTTCGAGTTTGCGGATGATGCTGTACTGCTCGCTACAACTCGCAACGCAGCCGATCAATCCCTGTGTGCCTTTTGTGAGGTCGCATCCAGCTTGGGTCTCACAGTGAGCATGACCAAGACCAAGCTTCTCGTTGCAGGTTTCGGAGTTTGCCCTGCTGATTGCTCTGATTTGGTCATTGGCAGTGATAGGGTTGAAGCAGTCACCTCATTCCCCTATCTTGGTTCCACCATCACTCCAGACTCGCGGTCGCAAGCGGACATTCGGAGCCGTCTAGCAAAGGGTGCAGGGGCCTTTGGTGGTCTTCGGCGCATCCTACATGACCGGAGCCTGAACCTCCCTACCAGGCGCCACCTGTATGTCGTTTGCGTACTGTCAACGGTTCTGTATGGTTCAGAATGCTGGACGCCGTTGAAGGCAGATTTAGATAGAATGGACCGGTTTCACCATGCCAACATTCGCTCCATCCTTGGCGTATCGCGAGGCCGACAGTGGGAACAGCGCATCTCTTCACAGGAACTGCGAGCACAGTGGGGTGATCCCACACCATTGTCACGCATGGTGCAGCAGAGACGGTTGGAGTGGCTTGGGCACCTGGCTCGTCTTGATGACACCAGAGTACCGAAGCAGTTGCTGTTTGCCTGTCTCCCTCAGTCTTGGCCATTCTGTGGACCTCGTCGTCGCTGGAAGGACACCATTCACACGGACCTATCCGTGGCTGGAGTGCGTAACTGGTTTGAGTTGGCAAGCGATCGTGGAGAGTGGCGTGGAGTGGTGACAGCAGCAGGTGAGGACAAGGAACCCGCCCCGAAGAGCATCGAGTGCCCAACCTGCAACCTTCTGTTCCGCCGTAGTTCTGACATGGTCCGGCACAAGTGTTCAGCAATCCGTCAGCTCCCGGTATCGGAGCAGCCTGGATCAGTACAGTGTCCAACATGCAACCGATGGCTACGTAGCAGAGGAGGCTTTGCGGTGCATAAGTGTCGGCTAGGCGATGTCGACCAGCCGCCGGCCCCTGCCCCTGCTCCTCTTGTTGTTCCTGGTGTAACTTGCACCAACTGTCAGCGTTCATTTAAATCGGCTGCGGGTCTCAAGCGTCACCGTTGTGGAACCTGTCCAAAGCGCCCTACTGTGGCTGAACGCCAACAATTCAAGTTTCACTGCCAAGTTTGCCACAACCGACGGTTCCGGAGGCGGCAAGATCTGGAACGCCACTTGGAGCATTGCCTTCCTCCCCCCTAACCTCTCTGACAGTACCTCCCTTTGGGGAGCGGCGTGGCCATTTCTGGCAGCTGTCAATAGTAGTAGTAGTAGTGTGTGTGTGTGTGTGTGTGTGTGTGTGTGTGTGTGTGTGTGTCCCATATGGTGCAGTGGTATGTGCAGCGATTTCCAATCGATAGGTTGCGGGTTCGATTCCCGACGATTATGGTCACACACGTCTTTCTTCTCTTTCTCAGACTCTTCCTGACTTTTCTTTCATTCTTCTGGGTGGTTACCAACAGCCAGTGCATGCCGGAGTATGTGGTGTGATGTGTGTGCGGGAAAAAAGAAAAAAAAATGAAAATGAAAAGACCAAAAATAGGGATTCACTGGCCAGAAAAACCACTTCAAATAGCTGTATGGTGTAGACCAGGCTGAATAGTGACGGTCAATTCTTCAGCCTTGCAAGCTGTTGAATGGTGCAATCCCGGCACAAGTTGCTATGGCTTCTGCGGTAGCATTGCTATCATCGCCTCCGGCGATGGGCGTCAAAGGTCAGGTGTGTGTGTGTGTGTGTGTGTGTGTGTGTGTGCTGGGTGGCTGGGTGGCTGGGTGTGTGTGTGTGTGTGTGTGTGTGTGTGTGTGTGTGTGTGTGTGTGTGTGTGTGTGTGTGTGCTATACTGGTTACCCCAGCAAGTGTAGGGTGTGCATAGGTAACTGTCTAGGTCGTCCTATTCCGATGTACTCCGCGTGGTGTAGACCAGGTGTGCATTGGGGGGTCGATTCACATGGCTTCGCCAGTTGTGTGGATTAGACAGTTATCTGGCGCTTGTCTTGATCTGTTTCAATCAGAATCAGATCCGCTATCGTTGCTATAAAGAGAAGATCTGTGGGTGCACATCCAGTGCATTTGCAGATTTCCGTGCTTCTCTTGCGACGGGCGTGTTCATGGTACATGGTACGTGGTGTGTGTGCATGTGCACATGTGTGTGTGTGTGTGTGTGTGTGTGTCCACATGGAACATTTGGTCAAGACTAAAGACTAACATTCTGTTTACGTTTTCGTTCTTTTTTTTTACGTTTGTTTCTTTTTTCTGCGTAGATGTCAAACTGAAGTCCCGATGGGTGGATCCATTGCTGTTGGCCGTTCCGGTCTGTGCGTTGCTGCTGGTACGTACCATGTACGTGGCCAGGAAGCGGAGACCTAGGAACAAACTAGCAGGGGGTAATAAAATTCCTCACTTGATTCTCCTTACTTGCGTTACTGTTGGCCCGCTTGTCCTTCCTGCTGTTTGGACTTGTCTGTGTTGGCTCAATAGTCGTTTGCCTGTCGTCAATCTCGCGTGCCAACGTGACGTTGGTGGTGCTGATGGTTGTCATTGTTAAAGACTCTTCTCGGCAAACTTTTCAGATCTGTGATCAAGCCTGAGAGTGCCGGAGTCGCCGGCAAGCTTCTTGTATCCCAGCAAAACCGACTGCAGCTGGCGCGTGTATGAGTGTGAGTGCTTGCGCGCACCTAGTACCTGTGAGTGTGTATGTGTGGGGGGGGGGGGGGGAGTGCGTATGTGTGTGTGTGGGGGGGGGGGGGGGGAGGTGAGTGGGTGGGTGTGTATTTGTGTGAGTGTATGTACTCAGCAAGTGCTTAGGCGTATCTATGCTCACCTGCTATAGTGCTCCGGGACGTTTGGACCCTTTATACTTCATGTATAATGATTGCAATACAGAGAGGTTGCTGTTTCTGATGATCGCTTACTGCGTGAAACTCACAGTTAAAACACTTTTTTCCGTCCTCTTATTGTTTGCACATTGACTGCCCCGGTTGTGCATGAAACTCTGATTTTTCAGCTATAGTTATGGCCTTTCTGTGCACTGTTTGACTGTACTTTGGTTAGTCTCCACAGCATTCTGAGCACACTTTGAGTGTACTTTGCTCAGTCTCCACGGCATTCTGAGCACACTTTGCGCCCTGCAATTATAATTATGCGAATCACTTGTATACTGTAAGTCTACTAATTTTCAGCCCATACGAATTTGGACCTCCCAGGGCTAAAACCCATTTCGGCTGAATCGAATTTTTAGCCTGTACTGTTGCCGCCTGTATACACTGTCACCCGGAACCTCGCAAAACATAACATCGGCCGAAACAAATTGTTGGATGTTGCTCATGTCAACCTTCTGGCTGTATATCTGTATTTCCGAATTGAAACAGGCCTAGTATGGTCTATTAGTGTACCATCTCTACATACCGTATTTTTCGGAGTATAGTGCGCACCTTTGTATAACGCGCACCCCCAATCTTCATTGGGGGTGCGCACTTCAATCTTCATTGAATTTGAAGTGCATGCATTTCATATTCGGAGCATAGTGCGCACCTGCGATTTAGGGCCTAAAATAGCACATCCAAAGTGCGCACTATACTAGTACTCCGGAAAATACGGTAAGTGAAAAGGAGAAGAGACAAGGGCTTCAGTTCAACCTTGACTTGAGCCCTGCCCTGCCCGTGTGGGGGGGGGGGGGGGGGGGTGAAGATGAGGTAGCTACAATGTACATACTGTACATGTGCGTATGAGCTTGTCACTGTCTTCAGCCTCTGTGTGGACACCTGCAGAGTGTAGTTGATCTACTGTGTGTTCCACTTTACAACCCCAGTAATCTTATAGGCTCTGGTTGAAATGGAATGGACTAAGTGTTCCCTTTGGGTAGAAACGAAGGCCTGAAAACTTCAAGTTCTTTTAGGTTGCTGCGTAATGCAGGCACTAAAGCTCCCGAAACCTTATTCATAATTATGGTGGTAAACACGCACCTGGCAATATGGCGGTAAATACACGCCGGCCAGTAGTTAAACAACAGGTAGAAAGGAGATAAAATGGCTGCAATTACAGTATAATGACGTCATAAATGGCTGTAAATACAGTCTAAAATACAGTCTAATGTCGAGCCAGACGCAGGACTACTAGTAGTAGTATCCGAATTATACTAGCGGAACTACTCGTACTTACTCATCCTCGAGGGGATTGAGATGTGTAATGACCCAGCGACCTTCTGCTCCAGGCAAAAGTGATATCCTCGCTCGTACTCAATCCGTTGCGTATTGCAGCACCCTAGACCTAGTGTAGTGGCCTACCGTGCGTGAAATCGAAAGGAAACTAGCTCCTTGGCTTCAGCACGTGAATGAATGTCCACGTGGTATGCATGCAGTTTATAGCTCCAGGGTGCAGTCGCCCTAGGCTATAGGCTAGGTATGCACGCCTCGTCATGTGAGGCAAACTCATAGTGGGTATTTCCGAAACATCCTCCCGGGTCATTCACTGATTCAGTACTACAGTACTCAGTATAGTAGTGCTAACGTACACAAAATTCCTGAGGAATCAGACACGCACGTATCGATACGACGGTACGTATCACGTTCGTATTATGTACACAGCCTAGCCGCTAGCCACAGACTAGGTACTCGTTTGTGCTCGTTGGTACGTGATCACCTATTGGGACAGCAAAGTCTGCCAAAGACTGCGTGACAACTAACTTCCTTCACGTACCAGCTCATGGATGAGTTTTCAATACTAATATTTTTATTATTTGTTTAGGATGTAAACGACTGTACAATACACACTGGTCGCAAAAGCAAATTCTGCTCCTTTCTGCAGGTCGCAGTACGTGTAGATGTACATGTAGTGAAGGCTCGAGGGCGAGATCGACTTTCAACAAATTACTGTAACAAGCTTTTCACGGTGGCCTGGTGGTGGCCACTAGTTTGACGAGTGAAGTGCAATTGTAGTTGACAGGCAAGGCGGTGAGGTGCGGTCGGTTCGCGTTCGCCATCTGGATGGCCATATGGTTGTCTATCTCGGCCCCTGATGGGACGCCAGAGGATAGCCGACAGCAGGTATGTGAGTCGGTCCTCTGTTTTGCATGCAGATGAGCCTACGTGTACGTGATGCGAATGATTTTGGCCTCTTGGGAACTCATGTAGCACCGCTACGACCACTCAAACTCTCACGCCACCTTTTGGCGCAATGAGCAAGGTAAAACGAAAGTGCACTAGGCCTATAGGGGAAGTGAAGAGTTGTTTTTGTTATTGCCAAAAATCATCGCTAACGCCTTGTTCTCGGACCTGAGTCGGGAGCTTTTCCACCACTGCCAGCCTGGCATTAGAAACTTGCATTTGACACTTGTGCGTCATCCGCTACAGTTGTGAGCGGGTCCGGCGACTTCAGACCTGGATGTAGCGCTCAAGTAACTTTGTTAGTTCGGAAGCGCCGATGCGCTGGAGCGTTGTTGGAGCAGCAGAGACAACACTGGCCCGTCCGCGGACATGCCATGCAAGCTGCCAGTGCTGCGGATGTGATGTTACGGCGCGTAGGTGCCTGTTTCGTGGCTAATTGCGGACGGCAACTGCGGCGTAGATGGCTATTGATCATGGCATTCATTGGCATAAGTAAGTTACTAGTACGGTTGTCGGCGCAAGTAGTGATACTAATGAGAGAGCTCGAAAGCTCAGGGCCCTACGCTTTGCTTTTTTCGCCTAGCTCATCATGCATGTTATGTTATTAAAACTGCCCCTCACAATCGGATTTTCTGGCCTTTTTGTAGTAATACATTGACCTGGTGAGCCAACGAGAGGTAAAAATTATATTCCATACAATACGATACAATACAAGGATACAATAATATCTTTGCGTTGATAGTGTGCTCGTGCTTAACTGTTGCTGACGGCCGAATGTATGGTGGCCTGTAGAGCACATTACATAACTTTACAGTCTCCTAAAATACGTATCCTGTCCGACGGCAAAAGAGGCTGCGGATTTAGTTTTTCTGCACGTTATCGGCAATGACTACTGATCTTCAGCAACTTGGGTCTTCTATAATACCAAGAGTACATACCCCCCCAGAGTGTGCAACGCCTGATCCAGCTCTGCATAGGGTCTTGGTCGAGCGGAATTGGATCTTTGCGTCATAATACCGTACACATCTGAGGGGAACCCGGGGAGTCGCGGGTACTCTCGGATCAAAAACAATGGCGCCCTGCCTCGAGACCGGCCTTGCGCTGGTGTGGAGTGTACGCATGACATCAGAAGATCCGATTCCGCTCGACCAAGACCCTATGCAGAGCTGGATCAGCGTTGCACACTCTGGGGGGTTATGTACTCTTGATAATACGCATCCTGTCTATGCTTTTGTAATTCTAACATAATGATCGGAATAGCACTCGCTACTGATCTCCAGAAACTTGGCCTGACTCTCAATCACAATAAGACTGTTGTAATGGTCATCGTTCCCAAGCGGTCTCTGGTATTTCCCACAATTTCATCATTCTGTTGTACGACATGCTATTATGACCTCCTTATACCGTACAACACCGTAATGATGTCTTTGATGGTACGGTACGGGACAGGTACGGGATAGCGCCAGGCATGCCGATGGCACAAACAAACAAACAGACAAACACGGAATTAAAGCTGTGTGGACTCTGGCTAGTGCCAGACGTTACTGAAGTAACGTCTTTTGCATAGCTAAGGGAATAATAATTATTTTCATTGACTTTAAGCCATGTTAGTGAATAAATGCAACCTCGCATCCCGGCTTCCAGGAAAGACACGACTCAATGACAGACGACTGCATGCCCCCCTCCCCCCCCCCCCCCCGAAAAAGCGCATTCTTCCGCTGACGGGTTTTGATCTCTGTGTACTGAGTCGCTCCGATCTTTGTCTGTATGGTGTGTGATTGCGCTGCTGCGCAATGCGTTTTGTTCCAGTGTGTAATGATGCAGCCACAGTGACGCCAGTGGATCAGGCTGGACACCGCCATGCCATTGACCATCAGAATGTATTGCAAGTATGCCCAGGCGTTGGCCTGATTCTGCGCAACGCCAATGTAGAAGACTGGCCAGGATGTGAGGAGCTGGACATCATATTGTCTGATATCTCCTCAGAACACGGTCCTGTTCTTGCAAGAGCTAATGCTGACACACTTTGCGCAGTGATGAATTCCACAGCATCCCCAATCACTGACAATGCCCTGAGTGGTTGCACAGCAGAAAACTGCATGGTGTTTAACCTGAACCACACTCAGTTACCATGGTTACAGACAGACGTCTACAACACTGCTGATGATGACGTCATGTTTGTGATGATTGGATGTCAAGCAACGCACACAGATGCAGTGCCCAATGCATCTATAACCATACTTCAGGTATGGACACGTTCGTTTCCGAACTTTGAGTTACGATAATGTTTCTGAAAACCCCTTTTGAGTAAGGAGTGCTATGGGTTACTACTGTCATGGACATGGAAATCCAGTCGATTGATCGCCGCAGGTGCGTGTGCTGGTGCCCTCCAAGGGTGGGTTCTGGGGGCCTCCCCTGGGAAATTTTTCAAAAAGGGGGGTTCCGGGCACCCAGGAACCCATACGGGGCACGCGCCTGATCGGGGCCGGTGCCCTCAACGCGTACCTCAACGCGTACAGAGCGGTGCGTGCAGTGCACAGTCGTGTTAATCCGATGCGCACAATGCATGAGTGTACTGCTTACCCACGGCTGCATGGCCAGCGACCTGGGGCCGCTAGACGTGCGACCGGATTTCCATGTCCACAACAGTAGTACATTGTAATCACTGGTTCACACGCAAGAGCACCAAAGATTTTGGTATGCAATAATGTTTTCTTGTGATGTTCATTAGGCAGATTATATATGGGGGAGGGGGTTGGAGGAGGATCCGATTGTTTTGCTGGAAATATCTTTCATTCTTTTCTTCAAGAACTCAGATGGTGAGCCAAGGGAAACATTTTGTAACATGGAAATTGTGGGCACAAGTTATGCGATCTGACTGTTTAAAATCTGGTTTCGTTGGCGGACTCTGTCGCATGACTTGCGGCCACAATTTCCATGTCACAAATTATTTTCTTCACTTCTTTTGTATTTCTGCTCACATACATAATATAGGTCTGTCTGTATGCCCTTCCACTGTCATCAGGTACACAACTCGACTTGGCCCTGCAGACTGGACAGCCTGTGCAGAGGTGAGTATTTATTCTCACGCCGGTGTATTATAGTTACTGGCATGTCGCAATACCTCTAGTGCTCCATGCAGTTCCTGCATGACATGTGACCGTCGCCTCGGCTATGGCCAACAACCGACTTTACACACTTCAAAAACTAACATTATTATACCGTTTACCTGAAGTGGAATTTGCCAGAGTCTGGGAGGTTGGCGATCAACGATCCACAGCCCTTCAACGTCAGATATTGGGCCACATGGTGGTGTACACATCTATGAAGCACTACTGCACTAGATGTAAACATCACTCTTGCATGTACCGTCATTTTTGCAAGTAGCCTCTGCTGTTCCTGTTTGTATTATCTTTACTTTTTCACCTTGTCATGTCCCTTCCTCCCTCTCTCATGACAGCCACCTTCACTTCCTTTCCCCAGAGACTCCGTTTGATAGGCATCCATTTGCCTCTGGAGAATCCTTGAAAATAGAATATCAATCAATGAACTCTACTAGTAAGCAGTTCTTTTACCCTTTGCATGGTGGTCGTAGAGTACTACTTTCAAAAGTCGGATCCTTTGCTGGTAGCTTCATACTATACTCTACATGACAACGTTTCAGTGGCCGTTTAATGATCTAATCCTGACCTTATATTTTCTAAGTACTCTCAAAACTCCCTTCCAGCCACTTACACACAAAGTTTTTTATTCCAAAAAATTGGATCACGGTCCCTTCGAATACCTCTTAAGCATTTTTGCATGACTTCTCGTTTCTGCGTTCAGCTTGGCATGGCTCGAGACGTGCAGCATGTTCGAATGACAGTATTCCCATCGCAGCGGATGACCAAGGTTATGTCGCCCGCAAGAAACTACCTATCTATGGACTCTCGGTTGCACTTGCTTTCATAACCATCAGCTTCTTCTGCTACCTTATATTTAGGTGAGGTTATCGACTGTCTGACATTAATTGCACCTGCATTTTGCTGTTGGTGCATTTTAGTATTCTCGGTGTGTGGAGCCCCTGAGCCGAATGGGATGAGTGTGTTCAAATGTTGGTCTGCATGAATACTTTCAATAGTAACTGTTGTCTGTAAAGTTCTCATCCTGAGTGAACCGCATGTATACAGCCAGTTCTGACCCCACCCCCTGCCCCACCACCCCCAGGTGATTTGCTCATAATGAACGTATTTGAAACTATGTGAAGTAGGCTTCTCCCCCTGGCCCCCGCCACACAACAACGCAAACTCTTGATTGTATCTTCAATACTTATATTATACCAAGAAATGACGAGGGGCGCAGGAGGAGAGAGACAAACTTGGAGACGACAAAAGGACAACGGGAAGACTCCCGGGAAAAGACTCAAAGAAAACAACAAAGAACAAGCAATAATAAACCGACGACAAATCGAGACGACCAATCAGGGACCAATACGTACAGAACACATGACCAAGACCAAGACAACCAGACCACTGACGAATCACACATGACTCTCATTCCCAGACCAAACTAGCACTGCGCATGTACAGCATTCACTTGACAGTTACTCTCACACAGACGGAAGCACATCCTCACACTCTGACAACGCGTACTCTTGCATGCACCACATACCATAAACGTCACACATCACACCATACTCGCGCGTACACCTAGACCATATATGACATCAGACACTGGACTCCACAAGACAAGAACCAAATACAACAACATGCGTAAATCAATACGAGACGAAATCCGTAACATATGCACTGTCAGCATGTGAGGTAATTGGTATGAAGTCACTAAACAAGCCTACCCAAATTATAGCAGGTGTGTATGCTAGTAAAATAGAAGGGGTTTGACAACTGACAACCGCTCTATTTAGTTGCTATTCACTTCTTTTGAAATCACTGATAAAAGAATTTTCATCTAGCGCATGCGCTAAGAGTGAATAGCAACTGAATAGAGGATGTGTCAGTTGACAAGCCCCCATTTTATTTACAATGCAGTTGCGTGATGTCCACCACTTTCTGAATATATCTGCTAGTATTGGCACACATTTATAGTTTTTTTTGTTCAGTTCTCATCCAGAACAACATGAATATAGCCAGTGCTGCACTCCCCCCCCCCCTCCCCTCCCGATGCTTGTGAATGGGAAGGTCACCACGTGCCCCCCCCCCCCCTGCCCCTCCCTCCCCAATTTTTGAGAATGGGAAGGTCACTTGGCAGTAATCGCCTGCTGTCGTCATTGTTGACTTCTGCGATCAATTCTGCAGCAAGCTGCGCCAGGAGTCCAGCAACGTGATGTTCTTGCACCAGTGCGCGGCAATCTCACTGCTCGTCGTCATGGAGATTGTGCGTATTGAGGTGGAGAGGACGATCCTCTCGTGCACGCTCGTCGGCGTCGCGATAGAGTTCTCCCTGCTGGTGATATTTGCATGGTCGACAGCGCAGGCTGTGTACCTACACAGGCATATCGCCAGCGCACACAAGCCAGAGATTCAACGCTATGTGGTGAAGGCATGTGCACCTTGCTATGGTAAGTTGTGTAATCACTGATAATTGTAATTTTGTAATTTGTTGTAATTTTTTATTGTTTAAGGGTTCCCCAAAGGCTTTCGCCTATCGAGGGGGTATCCAAACTTGCCATAATACTGGTAACGTATGGTACCCATTGGTTTACTTACACTAGACCCTGTGCGTAATCTACACATTAAGGGGCAGAAAAAACCCGCGGTGCTATTGAATTTCGCTGTAGAGCTCTAGCGGAATCGAATGCCGTATTTCCCCGAATATAGGTGACACCTTTTTACACTAAAATCCAGTGTGAAAAAGGGGGTTGTGACATACAATCGAGCGTGACTTACTCCTGAAGTGAATATACCAAAACAATAATTATGGCTCAAACCTGAAAATCGGGGTGTAACTTATAACCGAGGGCAACGTATAATCGAGGAAATACAGAAGGTGATTCGGAGAGAGGATCATTATCATGGCAAAAAAACATAGAATTAGCAAGGTCGACTTTGTACCAGAGCCAGAATCCCTCAAATATCTAACAATAGGCCTAATTTGCTTCTCACGTCCATTCATCAGGCCTTTTCAGGTGCGATAGTGACAAAACGCAGCAAACTACCGATTAATTGTGAACTTCGACGTCTATAAATATTTGTTCCTTTACCATGTGCTTTTCCTGCGAAGAACTTTCTATGATCACATGATGGCAAGCAGCTTCAGACCCATAGTTATTGTTTGACCTACAGTACAGGGCAAGAAGTTCATACACCACTTCGAGATCAAACGATCTTCTGGTAATCGTTTCATCATGAAACTCTAACAATGTGATAATTATCATCTTGTGTGTGTGCGTGTGAGTGTGTGCGAGGGTGTGTGTGTTTGGGTGTGTGTGCATGCGTGCGTGCGTGCGTGTGTGTGTTTTAAACGGCACAATTGCGAGCGTGGCAAGCGACCAACAGAGAGGGAGCGTCTTAAGTTCAAGTTCTGCTGTGCGTGCGGCGAGAGATATCGCAGACAGCAGGATCTGCAGCGGCATGAAGCCGGATGTTCTGCCGCTACGCCGTGATGCTACCCCATTTGTTCCCCTCCTCATGAGGGCAGCTTAGCCGTTTAACGGCAGCTGTTTGTCAAGGTCAAGGTCAAGGTGTGTGTGTGTGTGTGTGTGTGTGTGTGTGTGTGTGTGTGTGTGTGTGTGTGTGTGTGTGTGTGTGTTGAACCCCATTGAAGTCGGATTTGGACAAGCTGGACAGGTTCCATCACGCAAACCTACGGTCAATACTTGGCATTTCGCGCGGCCACCAATGGGAGCAACACATCACATCGAAGCAACTACGCGCACAATGGGGTGACCCTACTCCACTGTCGTGAATGGTACAGAGAAGACGCTTGGAGTGGCTTGGGCACCTAGCTCGGCTTGATGACAATCGGTTACCCAAGCAGTTGCTTTTCGCTCGCCCGTTTTGCGGGCCCCGACATCCCTGGAAAGACGCTGTCCGGGCTGATCTGACTGTGGCCGGTGTGCACAATTGTTTCGAATCGGCCAACGATCACGGAGAGTGGCGTGATATTGTGTCGGCAGCAGCGGGGGTAAAGGAGCCTGCCCCGAAGACGATTTTGTGCCACGTTTGCGACCGCCTGTTTCGTCGTCGCGCTGACATGGCCCGGCACAAGTGCACAGCAGTCCGACAGCTCCCCGTATCACAACAGCCTGGGTCAGTGCAGTGCCTGCGGTAGATGGCTCCGGAGCAGGGGTGGGCTTGCAGTGCATACGTGTCAAGAGGGGGACAACTGTGACGACCGACCGCCTAGTGATGCTCCTCCTGTTGCCGAGGTCCCGGTATGTACAGCCTGCCAGCATACTTTTAAGTCTACTGCTGGCCTCAAGCGCCATCGCTGTGGACCCCGCCCGAATCGCCCTACAGTGACTCATCGCCAGCACTTAGAACATCATTGCCGAGTCTGTAATTGACGCCAGTTTCGGAGGCGACAGGACCTGGAGCGCCATTTGAAGCACTGCCTACCTCTCCCCTAACCTCTCTGACAGTACCTCCCTTCGAGGAGCAGCGTGGCCATTTCTGGCAGCTGTCAATAGTAGTACTAGTAGTGTGTGTGTGTGTGGGGGGGGGGTGTGTGCGTGTGTGCGTGTGTCTGTGTGCCTGTGTGTCTGTGCGTGCGTGCGTGCGGGCGGGCGGGCGAGCGTGGGCGCGCGCGCGCGCGGGCGGGCGGACGGGCGGGCGTCAGTGGTGGGTACACTTATGCCTGATTGTGTTGGGTCTGTTGCCAACGGGCTCGGCTGCTTGAAGGTGTAATGTTGTACCTGCCACCTTTGTTGGTTTCAGGGTTCATGTACATTCTATTTGAAGTATACATACCTGTTAACCATGGACTACTTCTGGCTAGATTAACTCTTGTGTAATCATGGTACTAGTGAAGCTTGTATCAGATCCACTCTGATTTGGCCACCCACACTAGTAGCAAGTATTACCTTCACTGGGGGCAGAGGTAACTGCAGTTGGATCTCAGGACGGATACCCTGATGCCGTCAATCCTTTTTCTGCACCTTGTCCTCACCCACTTACTGAGGTGCGGTGAGCCCATAAGTGGGATCATTTTCAAGTCCAGCCAGAGTTTTGGGGATTTCAGGGGGTGTCAGCCGTTAAAGAGGAAGTTAAGGCAAAAATTAAAATTTCACCAGTTGTAGTCTTCGGGGTGCTGAGTCGAATGGTCTTGGTCCGAGAAAGCTGAGACGCTCCCTTCCTACTTGAATCCCAATCGAACTCACGCACTTCCACCGAAACTGGGTGACTGCGCCCTACTAGATGGGGATTTGTATGCAAAATGTCACTAAAAGCGCCATTCCGTTCTTATAAAAGCACGGATGACCGCGATTGGCCCATATGTTGTACTCATTTGGATGCTGAGTCGATTGGTTTTGGTCCGAAAAGGCTGCGATGCAGCGTTCCTCCTTTATTCCCAATCGAACATGGTTGAACAAGTGGTCACGTGCTCCTGGGTGCCCAAATCACCTGGTCACCACGCCAGCAGGCGACAACTTTCACACCAAGGTTCAACTCGAGTGACAGGACTGCACCCAAAAAACGTCAAACAGGCTAGTAAGTTGTACCCTGCAGGCACGGTGACCAGGTGACTGGTGTACGCAGGAGCACGTGACCGCTTGTTCAACCATGTTCGATTGGGAATAAAGGAGGAACGCTACATTGCAGCCTCTTCGGACCAAAACCAGTCGACTCAACGTCCAAAAGACTACAACATATGGGGCAATCGCGGTCATCCGTGCTTTTATAAGAACGAAATGGCGCTTTTAGTGATATTTTGCATACAAATCCCCATCTAGTAGGGCGCAGTCACCCAGTTTCGGTGGAAGTGCGCGAGTTCGATTGGGGTTCAAGTAGGAAGGGAGCGTCTCAGCTTCCTCGGACCACGACCATTCGACTCAGCACCCCGAAGACTACAACTGGTGAAATTTTAATTTTTGCCTTAACTTCCCCTTTAAGCGGTTCAATAGCCAATTGAATCATCTTTCCAAGATTCCTTTTGAGTCTCTCTCCCCTCTCCCGGGGAGACCCACGTGACCAGTTTTGGGAGTGAGCAACAAGTACAAGTGTGTGTGTGTGTGTGTGTGTGTGTGTGTGTGTGTGTGCATATGCGTGTGTGTGTGTGTGTGTGTGTGTGTGCGCGCGCGTGTGCGTGTGTGTGTGTGTTTGTGTGTGTGTGTGTGTGTGTGTGGGCGTGCATGTGTGCATGCATGCGCATGTGTGTGTGTGTATGTGTGTATGTGTGCGTATGTGTGTGTGTGTGTTTGTGTGTGTGTGTGTATGTGTGTGTGTGTGAGTGTGTGTGTGTGTGTGTGTGTGTGCGTGCGTCACGTGCACGTGCACGTGTGTGTGTGTGTGTGTGTTTGTTGTATCTTGCAGGATTGCCAGCGTTGATTACGTTCCTATCCCCAGCCATATACAAGTTCGACATGGGGACCCTAGATGATCCAACAGAAGGTGCACCGCTCGCGTAAGCCAGTAATCAGTGCAGAACTTCCTATCTCGCACCTCAGTCTAACATAATGAACAAGTGCCTGACTGATTGAAAGGCTTACTACATATACATCCAGGTACACACAACTCACATCGTAGATGATATTCATTGCAAGGTCGTAAGGCTGTAAAGTCATTCCAACACACACAGGATAACGTAGTCAGTGGCTCAGATTCCAGAATCGTTCTTGGGAAAATTTCATTGCATTTGTTGATTCTAATATACCTCTGCTGAAGCAATTAGTTTGATCCTACTACCATGCACGGGGGGGGGGGGGGGGGGTGGGGGGGGGGGGGTGGGGAAGGGGCTGAAGGTATTTGGAGTACTACAGTCTGTTATCTGAAGAACAATTCAGTGTATTTTACTGATTCATTGAGTACATACCTGGGCAACGAGTTCAAAGTGTGACCGTAGAAGGGGGTATTTGTGTGTGTGTGTGTGTGTGTGTGTATGAGTGTGTTTATGTGTGTGTGTGTGTGTGTGTGTGTGTGTGTGTGTTTATGTCTGTGTGTGTGTGTGTGTGTGTGTGTGTGTGTGCGCGCGCCTTTGCGTGCGTGTGTATATGTCTCTGTTTGTTGGCCTGCTCAGTTGCCATACAGGATTAACTGTCAGTGGCATATTTGGCATAATCGTGCCGCTGATGCTGGAGGTGCTGGTCAACTCTGTCCTGTTCTTCCACATCATGTACATTGCCTGGAAGCAGTCTGCCAAAGGCAGGCCAAACGCAAACACAACACCTGGAGATCATGATTTTAGAAAGTACCTCCATTATGCACGTGTGTCAGGGTCCATCTTCCTTCTCGTGGGATTCACGTGGATAGCAGGAGGTATCGCTATTTTCGTTGACATAACCACAACTGACATTGTCTTGATGGCGGAGTTACTTATTTGGGGAACCTTCATTTTCCTAACCAAACTTCCACTGGACCGGAAAGTCAGGGACATGGTGAAAAAACGCTGGAGAAGATGGAAAGGAATCTATATGCCATCAACTCTGATTGTGCATTTCTCTACTCCCTGCGACTCTACACCTGGACGCCCATAACCAATACGTTTACCATTTGGCTTGCCACGCCTCAGCCTACATGTACATGTACATGGGATAGATTTAGGTTTTTGTATTGTTTATCTCGTATATTATTTTAATTTAACTAGATCCGAGTTGACGGAGAGAGAGAGAGAGAGAGAGATAGAGAGAGAGAGAGAGAGAGAGAGTGTGTGTGTGTGTGTGTGTGTGTGTGTGTGTGTGTGTGTGTGTGTGTGTGTTATCTGGCGCAAGTCTTGATTTGTCTCATTCAGATCTTGTTCGCTATCGTTGCTATAAGAGAAAATCTGTGGGTGCACATCCAGTGCATTTGCAGATTTGCGTGCTTCTCTTGCGACGGGCGTATACATGGTACATGGTGTGTGTGTGTGCGTGTGCGTGTGTGTGTGTGCGTGTGTGTGAGAGAGAGAGAGAGACAGATAGTGAGGGAGACAGAGAAAGAGAGAGAGAGAGAGAGAGAGAGAGAGAGAGAGAGAGAGAGAGATACATAGTTATATCTCTCATTCTCATCATGTACCGTAGACACCTGTAGGGGGCACTCAAAGCCACCCGCTAAGTCAAACAGCATCCCGACCTCCTAATGCTGTATTTTGGACTCAAGTTTCGTGTTAAAGGACTCTCTGTGAAAGTTAGCCTCCTTTTCCTGTGCCTTTTGCTCAGTACTAGCATCTACATGAATTTGTCATCTTGTGTTGCAGTTCTTCGTTCTCCTCACTCTACGGTATGAAAAAGAGTAAAATGATGATCGTGTCCGTTCCGGAAGGGTATTCACGACGGCGGCTAACACCCGGTATTAAACCCCTGACAGTGTATCACCCATATTTCTCAGCCTCAAACAAGTTCTACCTGTATTCTTTGCGCGTTATTCTGGCCAAACCTACACTTGGATTTTGGCTGTCCGCCAACATGGGGTGTTAAAGGCTTAAAGCAAGGATGTGGGAACGGGAATAATCAAGCATTGGATGTATTTTATGATTATTATCCCAGCTCTTCACATCTCTGTGAAGGGGAATGGAATGGGGAAGTCCGGTGAATTTGTTTTTCACCACTAATTTCAAGCCTCTTGTACCGGCAAAATAAACACAAATGCAAGGTCAACAGAGAGAAAATGAGCTGAAATGGCTGTGAAAACAGTCCAAGAGGAATGGAATTCGTCATTGATATTGAAGTTACATCACTGTCCGTGCTGTCAGAAATAATTCAAAAGCACATGTAGAACCAGGGTGTGATGTTGATTGAAATAAATTCAGTGATTCTTATTCCTGCGTTGCGAGTTCATGCCCGGACATACTTCTATCACAAAAATGATCATTTTCTTGCAAGTCCGTGCGACCCACCAAGATTCGATGAGTTCACAGAATTAGTAAATGCAAGCGATTTACTGATTCTTTCAGGTAATCGAGTGAGAATGGCTCTGAGACCAACAAACATACTTGAAAGCAAGTACAGTAAAACCTGTCAAGGCGACCACTCGGATAAGGCGACCACTCGGATAAGGCGACCACTCGGATAAGGCGACCACTCGGATAAGGCGACCACCTGCCCAAGAATATCACTGAAACCAGGATCAAGGGATGCTATTTCCAGCCAAATGACCCTGGATAAGGAGACCACCTGGTAACAGAGACCCCATTTTGAAGATCCCTTGAGCGGTCGTCGTAGACAGGTTTCACTGTAAAGTTCTCACATCCGCGTTACCACCAGCTGTGCAGTAGTGGCAGATTTTTCTTGTGACCAGACGACGCCTGCACAACAGCTGGAATTTACTCATGACAAGCCTTGTTTCGTTCCGTTATGATGTTGGGAACCCGTCAGAGGAGAGATAGATGTTGAATGGAATGGGTTGAACTAAATGATATTGGTTTATAGAAGATATTGGCGCAATCATGAAGACGGCATCACTGACTGCACAGTGTTGACAAACACAAAAATTATAGTGTAGCCTGTAGGACGTTTCATTTATCCCAGGCCACCACCATGCCTGATTACAGGCAGGTAGATGCAGCGCCTAGCGGTGAGTGTCTCACAACCAATGCTCAACAAGGTCAAGAACCTCACTTACCGGGTACTACTAGGCCTTGACGGATTATGCTAGCATAATTTTTCGCATAATTTCTACCAAAATCGAATAATCGCATAATTCGAGGCAAATTGCATATGAATCGTATAAATTGGAATAATCCGCCTGTTCGCATCAAATTCCATACAGTTGTACATGTTCTACAAGTACAGGTAGATGCACCAGGAAGTCTTAGGTTTACGACTCCCTTGATAACATGTCCAGTCCACTACAATCAGTGACGGTCGTAGCTAGGTCGGACGGTGCGGTGACCCCGTTTAACTTTTGCTACTACAGTACAACGCCCTCTACAAAACAATTCCCTTGGTATTTTGCACAGAAGCATCATAATACATGTACATGTACATCAGCAGCATATGTGAGCTTTATTGCGGCATAATATGATAACTTTTAGCATAAAAATAGCATAATTCTGCAATTTTCCCAGCAATGCGAAAAGCATAATTTCACGAAAATATTAGCATAATCCGTCAAGGCCTACCGGGTACAGTGAAACCTGTCTAAGACGACCGCTCAGGGGACCTTCAAAATGTGGTCTTTGTTAGCAGATGGTCTCCTTATCCAGGGTCATTTGACTGGAAATAGTATCCCTTGATCCTGGTTTCAGTGATCGTCTTGGACAGGTGGTCGCCTTATCCGAGTGGTCGCCTTATCCGAGTGGTCGCCTTATCCGAGTGGTCGCCTTATCCGAGTGGTCGCCTTGACAGGTTTTACTGTATCTGTATTCCTGTTCCCATCGCTCTGAGTAGTGAGTACCCGGTTGTTGACCGTGTTGACCGTGGGTGTTGGCAACAACAATACCGGTAATTACCCATGTATACCTTGGCTCTGTTCCAGTCCGTTGGATGGTTACTGCGGCAGCTGACTGATACGGTATGATAAAATTATTATCAGTATTGATAACTAATCTCCAGTCCTTGACGTCTCAATGAATCATCAATACGGAGTCTCTATGCTCGGACTCGGAGTTACAGATACATGTACATGTACCTGACCTGGTTCAATGGGACGATGGCCCAGCTCTAGACCTCGCCAACGCGTTCAACTGGGAAAGATGGACTCGCCAGATATACGCTATCGGCTTGAGGTCAGTACATGCACTCGAAAAGGGTATAGTGTTGATGTGGATTCTCATGTTTGCCGGCCGGTTTCCTATGGCCCCGTCTTTAATATTGATACTTCTCCTGTGTTTATTGCACTCAATCCTGAGTGGACAGTGCTTATCAGAGAAGTGCACAGTCACTGGCTTCTTCCAGAACAATGACATAGTACATGTGTGTAGTGGCAGACACAGTCAATGCGTTATCACATTCACAGGTCCTTTAGCAGTACATGTACCACTACTAGTAGCATATATTAGTAGGGCTGTGTTTTTCTCTAAGACTCGACCACGTACTCTTCAGTCCGTTCTGTATGTGGTCTGAAGAGTATAATATTATCAGCTTCTAAACCATGGGCATAGTGCTGCTACTGTGTCGTTTGCCCTCCTACACGGCTACAGTGCACAGTGATGAGCACCAGCGGTCCAGCACTTCAGCTCTTGCATGCATCCCATGGATCAGTTTGTGGGCGCGTAATGATGACAGTGCAGCACCCCCCCCCCCCCCCCCCAACCACACAACATCATGCATCTTGCGTACTACGCTCTGCCCATTCAAGGCATTTGAGCACTATTGCAGGTTAAGGCGCACACCCTCTGTGCAACATCATGCATACATGTACATGACTGTACAACGGAGCTTCACATGTACATGTACATATACATGTACATGTACATATACATGTACATGTAAGTCTTCATTGAATCCAGATCCCCTTCAAGGACTACTGCTATGCTACCTGAGAAAACCAAGAATGGGTTCCCTTCTCCAGCGACCCACTCGAACAGACATAGGAATTGGAATTCTTCGGATGGTAGTCAGCAAAATTTTCACTTCGTGATAACCATATCGGCAACGTGAAACTTCGAAAGCACCATAAAAATACTTCTACCGATCTATACTTGTGATACACACACAACTTTAAATCGCAAGGAAATTTTAGAACTTTTGACAACGGGGATAATAAAAATACTATTAAATTTTGACGAAGCGATTTGACTTCACGAATGTCGCCATGCCAAAAATCGCATTGTGTACAATAGAGAAAATCAGTAGCATATTTGTATTGATTGTACAAATAATTATTTGCTGAGAATTTATGTGGTCTCAATAACTCAAAATCTCAAAGATTTAGTGAAAGCATCTTGAATAATTGGGCTCCTCTAAGTGAAGCATTCCGCATCCCATTGCGTGGTCTGCTATTTGTCCACGAATCTGCGACTTGTTCCGTTCGTTTCCTGAGCCGCGTGGCGTGAAACTCCAATCTGTGAACATAGAATAGGTCGTGGAGAGTGGACAGGATTTACATTTGACGTGCAAGGATACGTCGTGGCTTGGCCTTGCGCGTCGCCTTGTGGCCGTCTCCGTACACGACAGGTCTTTCCTTGAAGAAGCACCACTCGTCCGCAGGCTCGTCCGAGATCAGCTCTACGTCACGCAGTGGCGAGTCAGCCTTGAGTTCAACGGGCTTGATGTCCTCCTCGATTGATATTCTCGACTCCAGTTTGTGAGACTTGGGCCGGCGTACGACAACGACGTTGAGGCAGTCGCGACGCGAGCTACACTGGCTGTACACGGTAGCATACTGGGTTGTCTTCGCCTCCGCCATCTTTATCTTCTCACACAATGTCGGTGAACGATCACGTTAGGAAAAACTATTTCAAAGGTAAGCTGTATTGTGTTCTGGTTCGTTGCTGCTCTGTCAGCCCCTTTTATCACGGTATCTGTCTGTCTCTCTCTCTCTCTCTCTCTCTGCACCCGCTGCGATTCTTCACTCGGTGCACAGTCGTGACAGTATGCATATGAACGGCTACTTGATCGTGAAAGAAATACTGATCGCTGTGGAGAGGGCACTAGAGATTATCGTAATTGACTGATACAGGATGTTGGATGCTACGTCAGTACCGCAGCACACGTGATGCTCTACTCAGTCTGTGTTCACATACTAATGTACTAGTGTAGTACTAGTAGTGATAGAGCCTCTTGTACGGGCAAAACAATTTGTGCAGATCATCAAACGCACTCACAGTCAGTGGGCGCTGCAAGCTTGCACCGATTAGCAGAAACTAATGTAATTGCTTCCTCAAGGACTACAAGATCATATACTATGGACCACGGGAGTTCTGGAAATGAGTGGGCGACCCAGTGTACAGTGGAACCAGAACATGCAAGCGCGTGCAAGCCCCAATTCACCCCAAGGCCTTGCACTGCGCGTGGTTGCACTTGGAATAATTTCATGTGTTCCCATTTAGCTACCCACCGGCCATAAATAGGACAAGGTTTGATTGGATTGTTGTTACCCTGGCTTAAACGATGGTCCGCAAAGGACTTCCACAGAAGTCCACTTAATGTGAAAGGAAATAGCAGTGATGGGTACCTTCCACCGTGTGGCTCCTTTAAGTGTTTTGGTTTTTTTGTTGTTGTTGACTGCACTGCACCCATCACATCCATTATACCGAGAGTTCATAAACAAGAGTGTGCAACTCGCGGATGGGTAGGCCCACGGCGGAATTTTTTGTTGACGTCATCTTTTTCGACGACGCACGAGCTGCGAGTCTTTCGGAAAGTTTTCCCTCGTGCTCTTGGCTGGCTTTACACTACAAAAAGTACAAGGT